ATGTTACAAACTTTGAGCTACTTAGGATAAACAAATGTAGTTTCGTGTTACAATTTGAAGTCATTCTAGAAAGAAGAAAAAAGGTCAATTTAGGTTTATTTAAATTTTTGTTTATGGTTACAAGGTTGTAGTGAAAAAAAACGTATGAAATGCATTTAGAAAGTTTCAAGAATTACACAAAGAAAATTTGAAATTTTTGAGATGATGAAAAGTATTTTTAATTTTAACATAAAAATTACTTTGCACACTGACTATTCAAAATAAATACTCAATATATTCATGGACAAATCTTTATTTGATTTTATTAAAAATACTTCACTAAGAAATATGACTTTTTTGTGTGTGAAAGACTTGTAATATTAACTGAAAGACTGCCAAATTTCGTTGAAGATATACCCAATATAGTAAGAATTATAAGTATTCAATTTGTAAAGACTTTAAATGAGTACAAAAGATCACGTGAGATCAGTCAAATTGATCGAACTCATGTTGAGAGAGTTAAGCCACTAAATATTTTGACAAGGTATCTTACTTCCGCTGACAGACATAGCTATTCTTGATCAGTGCTGCCCTGTATTTGCAACATTTTTTCATGTGCCACAAGCCTTTCACTCCCATGTACACCTTGGTTCACATAGTTTAACTGATTCTCGCATGAAAATTACCATGCAATAAACCTCCACCACTAGATGCATTCCACACACGTGACTCCCTCTATGTTATTCTACCTAACAATCACTTCTCGTTTGATGGTGTTTGTATTTGGATATTTTATTTAGTGCTCTCTTCAATTTTTGAACTTCTGTATCAATTAATTTTCAAGTTTCTTACTTATTTTAACTAGTTTTCATTTGAACCTCTTTCAGTGATTGTATTATTTAATTTAGCCCCCCAGTGGCACAGCGGTATGTCTGCAGACTTAAAACACTAGAATCGGGATTTTGATACCCGTGGTGGGCAGAGCACAGATAGCTCATTGTGTAGCTTTGTGCTTAATTACAAACAAATGATTATTTAATTTTCTACCCAGTTACAGAACTTAGTCATTTTTCTGTGCTTTTCTTTCTTTACTAACACATTTGTATTGGGTTTTAATTTTCATTGTGAATTCTGAAGTGCAAGTTACCATGTCGGAGGTTGTACCTTCTACCAGCACGGTTACTCAGGCTTCAGTTGGGGAACTCGACTTTGGAATTATCAGCAATTATTCATCGAGAGATTGATCATTATTTGAGCCAACCTTCTTCTCATAATGTTGCCCAACTTCCTCCTGAACAAGCCAAACCTGTTCGGGACTAAAAAGCATTTGACAGCCTTTTTCCTCTGCCCAAATTTGTCATGTCTTCCCAAGTTCCTACTGTGGGTTCCATTAGGCCTAATACAGCTTTTTTTTTCTGGACATGATTTCCCAGGTATGTTCTGTTTTATTACTCTCTCCAATTTCCTATAATCCTGGTTACATAATACTCCTTCCTCTCAGTATTTTGTGTTTCCCCATCTCCTGATGTTGGGGTTTATACTAAGCATTTTGTATCTCAGTTACATGAGGGTACTAGCATGCCTTGCCCTCCGTGGGCTTCAGATCAGTTTTCTTTATCCTGCCATCAAGGTGGTTTTTCCATTCCTTGATTCTCAGCAACTTGAATCCATTTTATCCATTTGGAGGGTGGACTCTGATTGTCTTGTTCTTTTGTCCCAAGCCCAATTTTCTCACCTTCATCTTACCCTCACGTCTATCTTACAGCACTTGTCCATCATACATCTCCTCTACAAGACAATTAACCAAGATTTTGAGGGTGTTTTGAGTAATACATTTGCTTTAATTACATCCTTATTGGCACATTTGTTGACTTTGGCTCTTTCTTTAGACACGTGGTTCCTCTGTTGTTGTGATCTTTTGAGGAGAGATGCAGTTTTGTCCCACATTTGTTTGCCATTTCCATATCTTTGGAACTTATGCCTGGCCCCTTTTCTCCATCGGTTGGGTTTTGGAGATCTTCCCTCAACTTTGAAATCCCAAGTGGAAACTGTGAGACAGCAATCAACTCTTTCCTTGTTGGTTAATCGTTTGTCTCACACAGAGCCTCAACCATCCCCTGTTTCTGTTCCCTGTCTGAACCCTTACCTGTTCCTTCCACTAGTAGCTTCATTGTTGGCATGTTCCATTTGTCCTTCTTCCATAGAAGTTTATCGTTGTAAGTGGAACATTTTCCACCATTGGTCTTTGGGTCGTGGATTCTCACCTGCTTGTCCCGCTGTTCCTCTTATTACAGATTACCTCACTTGCTTATTTGATCAGGGGTCTTCAGTCTCCTCAATCGTGGGTTATCAGGCAGTCTTATCTCACACTTTTCATTTTTCCTTGTACTGTAAAGTTTTTGTTTCTTATACCTTATCACTCTTGTTCCTCCAGACTCTCCACCACATTTTCTTCCCCCCCATTTCTTCCAGTGGAGTAAGAGAGTCCTTACCATTTTCCAGTTCCAAGCTGCTGGGGTGGGGAACCATGGAGGTATCCTCTTGAATGAGAGATATACAATATAAACAATGATGACTCCATTCAGTTAAGAGTAGGGCGGTGGTGTTCTGTTGGTGTAGTTGACAGAAATCCTCCAAAAAGATGCTCCTTCTCTGCAGAGGTTCTCAGAGAGGATATTGTAGCTTTGAAGTTAGTCATCATAATGATTGGGATCCCTCATCTTACCCCCTCATGGAAGTTGGTTCCCAGCAGTTGAGTTTGGATTTAGAACAGAACCAATCGTAATATGTCCTCACACATGTCATGTGACTGGAACCCCTCATCCTACCCCCACATGGATGTTGGTTCCTGGCAGTTGAATTTTGATTTAGAGCTGAACCAATCACCATAAGTCCCCTCATGTGTTCAGGGAGAACTGACACCTCACTCATTTTGCCTCGAATGCACTGGTCTGGTATTGTGGGTCACGATGGGTGCACTTGTTAGTTGTTACGCTTCTACCTCTTGCGCTAATCCTCAATGTCTTTGTGTCGAGGATGTTACTGCTTTTGAGGTGGTTTGGTTTGAGAGGGATATCTATGTATCTTGCACTGCTCACATGTGCCCTGTTCCCCCGATCATTGGTGGGAATTTCTCCCTCCGGTCTACCATGTATAATCTTCTTATTAGAGGGTTCCCTCATGAGAGTGCCCTTCAGATGCTCATCGAAGAACACTTCTATTTTCTCCCTTCCACCGGTCCCTCCACCTATTCAGTGTGGGATTCTAGCAATGTATGTGAGTGGAAGTAAAGTACTGTGTCGGAAGTTACAATTTTCTTACTCTGAAAATATATTTCCAACAGGTACTTACTTCTGATCACACTTCCCACTGTCAACCAATGCTTAGGTTTCTGCCTAAACTCGAAGTGATAGTTAGGTAGAATAGTATAGAGGTAGTCACATGAGTCACGTGTATGGGTGGAGGTTTGTCGCATGAAAATTTGCATGCGAGAATGAGTTAAACCATTTTGCAAATAGAGGGCAGCACTGAAAAAGAATAGCTATATATATGAGCACAAGTAAGTACCTGTCGGAAATATATTTATAGTGTATGAAAATTATAACATTTGTAATTAGTTTTTCAAGTAATGTTTTTGATATGTTTAAAGTATTTTAGACATTTGAGGATGTTATTGTGATACCTCTTGTTTGGGAAAAGGAAGTGACTAAAAGGCAGTACTGTGTATCAGAAAAACTTCAGTATAAATGCTATCATTATAGGGGACAATATTTTTTATGTGTGTTTATGACATAAAGTATTATTTATCTTTTCTGAACAGGCTTTGTTTAGATGGAAAGCACTTTGGCTTGTAGGATTTAATACTGTGTTATCTTGTGTTTGTAATGGGGAGGAAGAAAATTTTTTTCTGAGCAATTTTTAATATTGAACAAAAATCACCTTGAAAATGTTGAGATCCAAATTTAAGATAATTTTTCATACACAAAAATAGATTTTCATTTGTGATCTCAAGTTTTAAGTAACTGCAAGGTTGGTAGAGTCAGCTGTTGTTATAAAGTGTTGCATAGTACTCGTAGATAAACGACAATTACAGTAAAAGGTAATTAGATGGGAGTTGTCAAATCATCCAACAGCATCTGACTACAACTAAGGCCTTTAAATATAGCTCCTTTGTGCTTCTCTACAAATAATGAATATCAAAGATGGAAGTTGATAGAAATGTAAACATTTAATTTTTTGTTATTTCTGAAATTATGGAACTTGAGATAAATTTGAAGTTGCAGAATTAGGTCTAAATTTGGGGAGAATATAGTGAGAACAATTGATATGTATGTATTTAGTATTGACTAAATATTTAATTGAAATATCATTTTGTATGATCCTGACCCATTGTAAAAAACATAACTTTTTCAAATTCAACATGCATGTGTTGAGAGATGTATAGACAAAATTGAGGAAAAGTTTATGGGCTTCTGTTCATAGTTATATGAAGGTGTCTAAACTTTGACACCGTAATGTGCAATTTATCTGCAGTTATGACAGCATTGTCGTGTTTGTGATTTTTCTGTTTGTTGTTCTTATAGAATAAAATATTAAAGGATTTTGTTGCTTTATTTCAGTGCAGTCTATGGCTGCTGGACTAATAGCAGTTGATGACTGAGATACAGAAAAACTTTATTAATACTTTGTACTCTTTATTTTCTTACTATTGTTAGTGAGTAGCTATTAAATATCATTCTGAAACCAGGCTTGTTTTCCAAGTCTGTCTAGTAACCCTAGGCTTATTCTGGCAGAAAAGACATCCATTTAATTAATTAATTACTGTTTGTAAAATCATAATTACAGAAAATCCTTGATGTGAGATTTATTTTTTCATAAGAAATCAATACTTTGATAAGATATTACAGTGGGTTCAAAAACTTTTATAAAAAGAAAATTATTATTAACTAAATTCTTAATATATATATGTATATATATATTAAAAGGGATAATATAAAACTGAAAAAAATCATACGAGTGCCAGAATATTCATTAGATTGTTTAAAATACCATATGTATATAATATTTTAAGATTGTTACATTTTTAAACTAAAATAGCTATGTTACTTATCAGGATAGTAAAATAACCTGTAAATTTGGATATTGCATAAAATCTTACTTAAAGTCATATTATCAAACTTTTTTTTATTGGTTTCATGAATTGTAATTAATAAAAAGTTGACATGAAGTATATGTTGGGAAATGTAATGTTTTATAATACATTAATGAAATTTATATATGTATGTCAAGGTATCATATACCCTTTAAATGTCAAAAATATCACAATTTTCAGGATGTGGTATACTTTTTTTCACCTAAACAAAGACCCTTAAAGTGACAATTTTGCACAAAAATTTCAAATGCATTTTTCTCAAAATCTGAAAGTTGGCATTCTCACGTTGGTTTTTAATTTGTAACTTCAAATTTGTTGATGCTGTAGACTTCACAATTGGTATAAATATATATTATTAGTGTATCTGTAGTGTGTACTAAGGTAAAGCTTATAAGATGTTTGGTTTTTATTAAATGACCATTAGGGCCATAATTTGACCTTGAATTAATTTTCAAAGTTTTTCTTAGGCAGACTAATTCTTCACATCCCATCAAAGTCTAGACCCATTTCCAGTAGCATTCAGTCATGTTTGTATAAGTTACTGGGAACATATGGCATTTATTTTTTTATAATATGCAAATTAGCCACAGTAGTAATGTTACACAACATGTGCCAGAATATGTCTTTGTACCTATTTCAATATATTTTTATACAAAAAGCATAATATGAAGATGTTTTTTTCTGATAAAAAGACAAAAACCTAGATAACACTATGTAAAGGGTATGTGACCTTAAGCATGGCTGCCCATTTGTCCCTGATGTCACAAGTTTTTGTGGGGAACTGGCAGAACCAATTTTGAGGAAATTTAACATGAAATTAAGTAGATAATTAATTGGATGAACTGTTTGCATTTGGCAGGCATTCAAATTTTACCATATTTATATCATGAATAATGGCTCAACTAAGTGAGGAATATGTTTAGTCAACATCAACTAAAAGTGACATTTAGTGCTTGTTATATCACAGGTACCTTTGCAAAATAGTGGAAGGGGTGGTTCATCCATTTACTTATAACATTACTTTTTAAGCCTGGAATTACTGGGTACCTTTGGTAGTATTTTATATATACTTGTACCAATCATTCCATATTTATCAATACAACAAGGAGAGAGAGAAAAAAAAATCAAATTTATTTGCTTTTCTTAAACTCTCTCCCTCCCAAATAATACAAGGAAACTCATACACCTGAAGACTTGATCTTTAAGAATCACAAAATGTGTTTTTGTACAAGCTTTGCAGTTTCATGAATTCATTTACATTGTTTTTGTTAAATAATGACTTTGAAAACTTAGGTGACATCAAGCTCTGAAAGTTGGACTTTGCAATTTTTCCCACTTTTTTTTTAAACCCTCCCGAGTATTATGATGTTTAAATATACACTCATTCCCTTTTTATTTTTTTATAAAATTACTTGTAGACTTTTCATACAGCGTTGAAAAACATTTCAGTTTTACAAAGGCAGTTAGCGCATATCATTGATCTTGAGTAAATGAGTACTGGGAAAGCTTGAAAAAAGAATTATTAAATAATTGGCAAAATGTTTACCCATGATGCTTAAGACTAGTTAAATATTTCATAGCACTTTTCTGAAAGAAAATGTCATTTCATTACTTTCTCAACGTGTTTGGACAATTTTTTCATTTTGAGACAATAGGTATCTGTTATAATGACATTTGGTATGATAATTAGAATATCATTTTGTATGATCCTGACCCATCGTAAAAGAAGTAATTTTCTCAAAAACAGTTATATCAGGTAATATACTTCACATTTTAATAACTTGCAAATACATACATATTGATCCAAAGACTGAAAATATTGTTAAAACACATGTTTTTATCAAGTCTGATCATCTAGAAAGTGCAATCTGTGAATTATTTAAAGTATATTATTTTGAAAGTTATATGGATTCGGCTGGTAAGCAAGGGTAGGTATATTGAACTATGGAAATACTGAATTTGCATTATTCATTTACAGTTGTACATCGGGTCTCTTGTTAATAGGTAGTTCATTTAATGTCAGTGTATTGAACTAAATCTGGAGCCTAAAAATATATGTTTTTTAAATTTTATGCTGTATTTTAATGTACTTAATAGATTAGACATAATGTTGATGTATTTGATAATGTGAATGTGGTCATCTGTCCTCTTAAGGGCCAGTCAGTTTTGAGGAGGCAGATTTGTCCTCCGTTAGTCAGGTCAGCTCTGCAGACACTTCACAGATCTACAATGGAGAGAATCCAAGTAAAAAAGAAGGTAAAAAAATGTCTCTCCGTCACAAAAGCAAACCATCCCGCCGCACCACCTCCTTACTGGACTTGTTTTTCCCATCATCCCTTGGTATGTTTGTTGCCTGTCGCTTTTGTTGTTGCACTTCTAAATTCCAAAGTTTCTTGTCTCTGCAGCTTTAGCTAGACCCTATACTGGCTGTAGAGTTTTTCTGTTTTAGTTACTCATGCTTTTCTTTACCAGATTGTCAGTGCATTTACGTAGTGTGAGTAATGCCATTCAGATGTTGTCTGCAAATTAGAAAAAAAGAAGTATTCAATTTTACTTTTAATTTGACTAACAGATTAAATATTGCTATTAAGGGTGCTTTTCTCCTTCCCTTTTTTTTTTTTAAATATCACAATTTGATTTGCACAGATACAATTGTGAATTATTTTGATACTTCTTTCACTGGTTTTTTTTAATTTTCTCACAATATCTATCAAAAAATGTAACTACATCAGGCTATAATAACATTGAAACCTCAAATATTGATATTCGTTAAAATTTGTAATAAGAATACATCACTTAATTTTTTATTCGTTTATTAATACTTCAATATGTTAAAAGACACAGATGCTTAAACATACAGTATAACTTTAGTGGGGGCATAGGTGTTTTGTTTACACAATTTGCACTTGTTTATTTTCATTTTTAACTAAACATGCCAGACAACAAACATTCTGAAGAATCCCCTTTTGATTTAAACAGTGATGTTAAGCAATCCTTTCTTTACTTTCAATTTATATTGCAAGTAAAAGAATAGAACCTTTAAGTACTGTGAAATAATTTATAGCATAATACAAGATAACATAGCAATTGGTTCTAAATATTCTTGGTTAATTTGGCTTGAAAGGCTGAAACTTGGCTAACAAAGCTGTACATGCACAAGTTTTTTCAAGGTTATTCTGTAGGATAGTTGAACTGAAAAATGACATAGAAAAGGTTAGATGTGAAAAGAGAATCCCCCAAAAGAATATAAATGTATAGATGTCACAAATGACAGAAAATATTTGCTCCGATCATCTTAAGACATTTATACAATTGCACAGAATTACATTCAACGTGACAAGAAACTAGTATAAAGTGATCAGAGCCCTGACAAGTAATGCTGGAACTGGGAACACAGTCATTACACAGTGGTGCTAAAGCTTAAATTGTTATTTAGAATTTTTTAATCCATACAGTAGATATATTTGTAAATTGGTATTATTTGGTTTATCTTCAACAAAAAATTCAGTCTTATCATTTAGGTACAAGCTCATTCATTAAAAAAATATGACTAATTATGTTAATTGTACTTAATTAGACTATTTCATTGCAAAAGGTCAATCTAACTGTTATACTTTTTGTAACCATTTTTCATAGTAAACAGCTTATTCATAGATATTACTCAAATAATTTATTGGGAACACAGAGTTTCAACTTCAAAACACATCATTCTGTTTCTGCAACAGTTATTATTTTTCAATAGATACTCAAACCTAAGATATCCTTTTGACATCCTTTATCGTTATAAAACTGTCATCCATTAATAAACTGTTTGGTGCTATTCACTATAACATATAAATCTGAAAGATTTGTGATATTCTTTTGAATTAAATCAATATCCTTTATAGTCTATTATGGATTTCATTATTTTATGCTTCTAAAAACTAAAAGCAATAAGCATAAAAATATTGAATAGCCACATTAAATTCTTTGAGCTTTGCACATCACACTTTGAAACTGAAAAGGTGTAACATTATAGTTAAGGAAACCAATACCTTTTAGATTATTTTAAAAGAATCTTCAGAAATATCTGTGTTGTATAATAAAACATGTCAAAGTTTACAAATCCTTGTAGAAATAAGTTTTTCTCTTTTCATTATAATCTACAAGCCATCACAAAATTATTTTTCTGGTTCCATGGTTAGCAATATCAGCATGCCACTGAAGTATTTGGCTGTTAATTTTTAAACTTCTTTTTTTTTTTTCTTAGATCAATGTTTCCATAATTATTACAATTTTTACCAGCAGTTTTGGATATTATTTTAAAACTATATTTAACGCATGAACACACATTCCTGTATAGATCACAAAGCAAGGAATCTATTCATGTAATAATTTTTAGGTTCATCTTGGCGACAGTGTTTTTTTTTCAATTTTCATCGTAATTGTACATACACGTGCAAGCATTATACATGTATAAAACATTTTTCCATTTGAGGAGAAAATTTTTTATGATAGAAATAGAATCATGGATGTTAAAGTCCGTTTTTAATTTACAGTAGTGTAATAGAATGCTTTTTTTTTGTTAAGTTGGCAATATGCAGTTTGTAATGTTTTTTGTGCTTGTATTCAGAACCATTCTATATTAATTATATTTTTTGTTTATGTTCATCAATGTGTGCTGTAAAAACCAATATTTAGTTAGCTAGCATGTGCATGAGATGGCATTTTGCAGGCGGTGGTCATGATATTGACATCAGCCCAACACCTTCCCAAAATGTTACCCCTGCGGCAGTTTTTGCTTCCTCAACCTCTGGCTCCACTTCTGAAAACAATGAACAGCTCTCTAGGACAACTTTTAGGGGCTCCAAATGTAATCATTTTTCTATCAATCTATCTACCTATCTATGATATATATATTTGACTTTTTTCTAAATAATTCTGTTTCTATCTTGAAACCTTCTTTTTTGAATAGTGTTGTAACTTCTGATATTTTATTGCTCTTTTTCTTCTTACATTAAGCTGAAAATTTATTGAGTTATGAATTTGCCTTCCAGATAGTGTTAAATGAAATAAGTTTATAATTTGTGACCATACTTCACTCTTTAGATAATTTTATTTGCTCAAACTATTTTATTACTTTAAATTGTGAGCACATTAATAAAAACGTAGTAGTAAAAGCTTACATAGTTTAAGTACTTGTTTGTTTTGCATAAGACTAAATAAGGTTTTGTTGTTATTTCACATAATCTGTGCTAATGTTGATTTTGTATGAAACATGCTTATTTTGTACCACATAATTGCTTTATTTTCATCTTTTTTTCTTTGCCTTTTGGGTGGTGGTGATGGTTTGCTTTACCAAGGTTTTTGCATGCTTTTTGATTATTTTGTATTTTTTATATTTTATTTTATTTTTGTTAATTATTTTATTTTGCCTGTTTTTAGATTTATCTGCATGACAAGTTTTATCTTCCTAAATATTTTTATTTTGTTAATTTTTAACTGCTATTGTTAAAATAGAACATTACTGTTTTATTTGTTAATATGTGTTCCTATGTTGTTATGTCCATGAAAAATTGTTGATTTTAAACATCCATATTGATTGCCTAAACTTTTCAAAATCTTGAAAGAAAGAAGACATAAACTAAAATTGATTCTTCTTTTGTGATTGTAAACATAACTGAATTATTGTAATTTATAAAATCTGAAATCCAATAATAAATAGTGCCTTTTGTTGCCAGCTAGTTACTATTGATCTAGTGACCACTCTATTTTAAATGTTTTTGCACAGGACCACAAAATGTAAGGAATATAATTTATTCAGGTTTTGATGGTGAAAAATGCTTATTTACTTTGAATAAAAACAAGTTAGTGTAGAATGTAGTTGACGGAGAAAATAACACCTTATAGTTGTTTACTACTATTTTAGTCTCTGTAACAAATAAAATTTAAAGTTTCGTAGTTAAAGCTACTGCAGTGTCTTAAAAGAAGAAAAAGGGGGAAACCTATAGTTTGTACATGTGTAAATTTTAAATATTGTACCTTTGTTTTCAGAATTATGCTGGAACTATTACTTAATTCTGTTATATTCTATGGCAGGTTAAATGTAGGCATAATATTTAATCAAAATTATTCTTATACAATCACTATTGAATTCATTCTCTAAAACCTAATTGTAACATAGAATATTTTAATGTGTATTTTAAAGCATGATATGTAAGCATTGCAGCTAACACTGCAATATATAGAACTGTTTTTCAGATAGGAAAACATTAAATTTACCTTTTTCTTGTTTACTAAAAAGAATAATTGATGTAAGTGATACAGTTTAATTACATAAAACCATAAGTTTTTAAAATAATTAATAGCTAAGATACAATTAAAATTTTCACTAAACTTTAGTGTTTCCATGCTAGTTCTCTCTGTTGAGCAACTCATCACACTCGGAGTTTAAGGTTGCCTGAAAAATGTAAAAAAACGAAAATAAATCAAATAATAATTGTACTTAGCTATTTGAGATTCAAAGCATTTTTGTAAAGTTAAATTACTGGGCATCCCTGTTCACCCTTTGTCCAGATACTGCTTTTAGGTTAATCTGAGGCATTCTTTTAAGTTATTCCACTGTTTTGAAATTAAATACACATTTTAAGTGAGTTAAGAAGCTGCTGCATGACCATTAGTATAATTTAGAAATTAAGCTCAGAGCAATAAGACACACTATCAAATCAATAATTTGCACCAATTTTATTTTCGGACAGCCAAATGAATATGTATTCAGCCTTTGTTTCAGTTTTTTTTTCCAGGTGGCACCACAACTCTTGTTGTTTCTTTGTAATATAATATTTAAATTTCTTAAAAGGTGAACTTGGATTTTCATTATTTAATTTTACACAACCTGAAAATTTTACAATAGTTGAAATTTTATTTTGGTTTACATTTAATTTTTATGATCTGATATAGCATGGCTCTTTAAGTTGGTAAAATCAGAGTTTAAATTATAAAATTTTAACTTTAGGTTGAATAAACACCTTAATTCACTGTAGCCTTTCAGTGTCCAGATGATAATTCTGAGGGCTTATAAAGCTAAAAATTGGGTTTTGATACCTGCAGTGGGCAAAACTCAAATAGCACATAGTGTCTGTTTGTATAACACTCGTGTGGAAAGAGCAGGGACTGTTAACAATGCCCTGTTAAAAAAAATCACCATATAACAAAAAAAATTAATAATTTGTTTCTCATTGAAAATTTTGTAAGGAACATTTTGGGCACTACTTGAAAATTAAAAAATATTAAGCTTTTAATAAAATGTGAAAATATTGGATTTACAAAATTCATTTATCACAGATAGTTGGCTTTGGAAGACCCCCCCCC